TGCCATGGAGTGAAAGAAGAGCGTTCCCCGTTCTTCCTGCAACCTGTCACCAACTGCATGAATGAACATATTCCAAAACAGGTCAACTGGAGCGTTACTGGACTCAAGCACCAGCTGTGAACAAATACCCAAATAGAAAATTGACGACAAACCTGTTTTCCGGTGTTGGTTGAGTTTAGCGAAAGTTGTGCCGAGGGGTGCGAGCGCCTGTTTAACAACTCCCGGCCCTTTATTGGCTTTGTGGTACTTGTTGATCCACCCGAATTTGGGCATGTGTGTGGGAGACTTACAAACATCTGAAAAACCGGACAGAGAGAGGAAGAGAATCAGAACAAGTCAGGATGAAAAAAACCAGCTTGAATTTGTTTTCAGGCACATGTGGAGGAGGTACAGTAAGATTCATAGTGTATATATTGTGTGAAGAAGAAGTGTTCTAATTTCCAAAGCATTTTTAAACATCAGGTTTCGATTTTCTGTAAAACCACCTTCAAATTTAGACTTCTTGAAATGTGTATTGAGGAAAACGCTTTCAGGAATCTCACTTAATCCATCTTACCTTTACCATTTTGTATATTCTTCGTTTTAACAACACCCGGAGCCTGGTCCTCTAATCTTTCCATCACTGGTATCCCCCACCGGGTTAAAAGCCCCAGCAGCTCATTTAGCGTTCCACTAAAAATGTAACACATGCGACACACAGGTCTTCGTCCATGCTTCCACTGCGAAGAGTAGTGAGCCAGTGGCGAAAGCGACACATCCCTGATAAATGCGTCTGTCAACCCATCAACCGACCTCCTCTATTCAGATTACAAGTTAAAAGAAGTCCAGGAGAAGTATCGAGGAGGAAGTGACACGTCCTTTTATACTGTTTTTGTCTGGTCCCTTTGTAAAAGCTGGTGACAGAAATAAACTAAACACAGTACACACCTCCAACTCCACCCCTTCTTTCTCTGTCTGTCTGAGTCGCTCCTTTTTTCTCTGCCAGCCAATAGTGAAAGCTGTGAGACAACAACAGTCCCACAAATACACTTGTGTTGCATTTCATATTTTTTGAAAATGTATTTAACAATAATCTCATGTCAAAATATATCGATATAAAGATTATTTTGGCTCGAATTAGTTTTGTTGTTTTACCCCAGGGCAATTGAAGACTGGCTGGGCAGGTTTTATTCAAACATTGTAAGAGAAAGTTATTTGTACTTCACACATAGTGACTCCAACTTTGTTCAAGAAAGAGGATATAAAAATATGAACTTCTTAGGCAAAAGATGATCAGCTTTGTACAACAGATGATTGCACAACTGTCTGGTTTGGATGAATTGTAGTTTGTCATGTGGCTTCAAACGGAAAATACTCTCCACAAGCTTTTCAGGGTTTTTCAGAGGCTGCAGGAGCCCTGAACAAAAAGCGATGACTGGCTGGATGTTATGTAAACGCTTCGCCTCAGACTGTGAGTGCTGACCTACCACTCCACGCTCTGTTGACCTCACTGAGAAAGAGCCGTGACTGAGACCCAAAAGGAAGTCTGAGCTCCAGCTCTTCTTCCTGGTAGCTTACTCTCACCCTGGTATCAGCCCCTAGAATCAGATGAAGAACATCATGAGAAAGAAACATGTGATATTCAGTTTTACCTGGTATTTGTAATGTATATGAGCATATTTGTAATTAAGAAAAAAGGGCAAACGCACCCACGACTGCCAGCTCCTCTGGGGAGGAAACTAAATAAAGTGCAGAATGAAAGACAATGGTAGCGTCAGGTCATTTTTAACAAGAAACAAGTTATTTTCATGCATTGTCCAAATCTAATATTTTTTGTATCGCCCGTATTCACAAATCACTATTTGCCTCAAAGCTTAACAAGGTGCAGCATCCTCTGCCCTCAACCCTGGACAAGGGTGAGGAAAAACTAGCAGAAAAAGAGAAGAATATCAGAATATAACTCAATCTGCTGTCAGTCGAACGTGTCATGATGTGAAACATATGGAAGCGGCTCACTCTCCACAACAGCAAAGTCAAGGGAGACGGGTACGATGTCCTCCAGTGACACGTCATCAGCGGTGATGGCCATCCTTCGATGAGTATAAATAAAGATTCTACAAAATACAGGATTTAAATCAGGCTAGATTCTTTTTCAAATTACTTTTTTATCACGTGTATTTAGCAATCTGAACCAAATGTAATGAGAGGGTAACAGGGTGTGGATTAATTGAAACTAGTGTAGAGCTACTGCACGACACAGTGAAATCTATCATCTCAGTTTGTGGTGTTGCTATGGGTTACACAACACAGTTAATTCCTCTTCTTAACAAATGACATCGTGAACCTTTGAATACGAGCATCTGGTTCAACAACACACAGAGAAGTCATGTTATTGCCAATTACAACTTTTCTTTTAAAACTCACGCATGTTCTTTCGAAGACTCCACCAGGCCCAGCAGTCTGCTCTCTGTGATGCTATGGGACATGACCTCACACTGGACGGCATGTTCACAGTTAAGGGTATAGCGAAAATATGTTTGCATATTTCTTTATAACTAAACACAAAAATATGACTTGTAGTGCTGGGGAATAAAACAATATTAATAAGAATCACATCAATATCAATATGTAAGCATTCTAAAAGCACAACATATAATCCATATACCTCAGATCTGAATATTTTGCTGTTTGTTATATTTTGGCCCATAAAAAAGGAGATTAAAATCAAAACCTTTACACAGGAGCAAAATCTTTTAACTAAAAAATAATAATGGTACATTTATTGTTATGATTACTCTTTTTTCTATATGGCCCAGTTTTAATTTGACTAATTTCAACTAAATTTGGCTTCAATTTTGAAAGTGTTTAGCAATTGTTGTCATGTCACTAAATACACACAGTTAAATAAAGTTTTGACGTACTTACCCTATTTCCCTTGAATACTTCTCCCAGTTTTTACTCTACTACCTTTACCTAACAGCCGTAGACAGCCTACTAGTTACTTTACAAACGTATGGACCCATTTTACGAACAAAACACATGATTAGCTTATAAATACAATGTACTGTTTTCAATGAAGCTACGCATATGTAATCAAATGCTTAAAATTCCACCTCAGACAGATGTAAAAATAAAATATAACTAATATAACAACAACTTTTCTTTACGCTGCCAGTCACTTTAAACAGCAGCTAGTGACACAAAGCTGCCACCGTGTGGAAGAAAGCTCCAACTACAGAACTTGGACTCGATGCGTGGGAAGTCCCACCCAAACTAAACCTGCTCGTGAAAAAACAACAACGTGTCGAATACGTTGTTTTCATTGAATCCACAGATCCGGAAGTTTTTATTCTGAGACACGTAAACAACGAAACAGAGCTTTGATCTAATCTGTTTGATCTGCGGACTCTGATATTCTCCAAAAGAGTCGCGCAGGTTTAACTTAGCTTGAGTCACGTTATCTTACATTTAAAGTACATTCATAGTTGCATGCAGGTTGTGAAGGATACTATGAGGCAGTTTTCCTCTCTCTCCAAAGTTTCCTGAATAGCGACGGACTGATCCATAGCGACGTCTCTGTGTCTCTCTCTCTCTCTCCCTCTCCAGCTCGTAAACAACTCGCAGGAATATTCCACGTGAATCTCGATCAAACTTTGATTTCTTTCTCTGTCACACATCTGCAGCAGAGACGCGTGAGCAGCGACATTATTCCCTCTTCTAATCCAGATGTTTCAGCCCTCTCCTCCCTTCCTTCCTTCCTTCCTCCCTTGCCCCAGCCCGACCCACTGTCTCTGCCACGCACTGATTCAGAACCCACCGTGACGTCACAGCTGGGGGTGTCATCCACTCGGTTTGGTTTGGATTGGTTTGGATTAACAGGCCTCAGCAGCAGGGCGACGGATCCAAAGAGGATTATGTCCCTCAATAGACCTGGATCAGGTCTTTAACTGAGTCGTATCAAAAGATTTTCAGGAGTTCTGATGATCCCGCAGCTCAATGGACCTACAGGCCCACATTTATTCAGCAACAGTCCCCTAGTAGATAGATAAATAGATAGATAGATAGATTTACTTTCCCAAATTAGGGAATTATTTACAGCAGCATGTCAAGGGCATTGCACGTAGAGCGAAGAGACTAAATAAAAGAGCTGATAAAATGAGAGACAAGCGTGCAGAATTGCAGTAGTTGTTTGTATATGTAAAGGTCGGAACATGACTAAAATATAAGATGTGCAAAGAAATTCACAGATTCTGCAGGAGTAATCCGAAAGATTTGGTGTGGACAGAAACTATAGGGCTCATGGTTTTGAGAGTTCACCTTTTGACAGGTGAGGGGATGTACAGTGTTATTGCGGGGGGCAGGAAAATGAAACCTCATTTTTATGATCTGCACAAAATTTCATTGTCGGTCCCCACAAATGTGTCTGAATTTGTTTTATTAACGTCCATGAATTGAATGTAACTCTCGCAATGTTAAATCTGCACTAATATTTAATGGGTTCCTCCCTGACCCACACACTCCTTCCACCAAGTTCCATTGTTATTCGTCCTGCAGTCTTTGTGTGACACTGCTACAACTTCTCACCTTGTGGTCAAAAAGTGAACTCTCACAACCCTGAGCCGCACAGGTTCTGTCCAAACTCTCTGCTTGCTCCTGCAATAAATGTGAATTTGCACGTTTCTCTATCTATCTGTCTGCCTGTCTGTCTATCTGTCTGCCTGTCTATCTGTCTGCCTATCTATCTATCTATCTATCTATCTATCTATCTATCTATCTATCTATCTATCTATCTATCTATCTATCTATCTATCTATCTATCTATCTATCTATCTGTCTTTCTGTTTGTCTGTCTGTCTATCTATCCATCTATCTATCTGTCTTTCTGTTTGTCTGTCTATCTATCTGTCTGTCTATCTATATATCTGACAAACATACAAGTACAGATGAAAACCTCTGTGAGCCCAAGAAATATCTTCACCTTTCACCCCATCGAGAACGCCATCAAATCAAGAGTCACCAAACATAAAGTTTATTAGATATATTTCTTCAGGCACTATCATCATATTTTACAGAAACACAAAACTAGAACAACCTGACACCAGTCTGATTTCATGTAACATTTAGATGACACCATTATACCAAAAAATATACTTTGTACACCACGTACACATCCAAATCACATCAAAAAAAATATTTTGACAAAAAGTAGCTAAAAAGTCCTGAATTGCACATTTCATTGTGATTACATTGACAGTAGTTCTTCAGCAAACCTTCACAACATCCTGTGACAGCTCAGAGTTTGAATCTCATAAAGTGCATATAGACTTTTAGCTGCGTTACTCTTGCAATGGCTTCAAAAGTTATTCATCTAAGGGGGAAATGTTTTATTAAAAACATGGTACAAAATGCTCACGACCACTAAAATCTAGTGTTTAGGCTCACTCACCCATCCAAAATTTAAAATGTGTCTAAAAATCAGGTGAGAGTGGAAATTTAATAAGTCGTGGGCAAGGTCATGGCTAAAACAAAGCGTTGAGCTTTAATTTAAACTTCACTCCAATAAAAACGTTTTTTAATGTGTTATTTAGTTTATTATAAAGACAAGATTTTCCTGAAGTTAGTGATGTGTGCTTTCAATTAGAAAAACAAAAGACATTTGTTACTGGTCTTGAAACTGAAATAAAAATGTGATCGAGAATCTTCAATAAAAAGAAATAAAATCAACATTATCACTTTACATTTATATTATCCCATATTTATATATACAGCACAATCACATATGAATATCACTGAGATATATGAAGTAAACCGTAACCTGCTTTAATTTTGGAAGTGAGTTATACAAAGCTCTGGATATCTAACATGACCTACATAATAACTGAGCCTGCTCTTGGTCCCTCACAGCATCAGGGTGATGGCGAGCAGGCAGAGCAAGCAGGTTATAAGTTCTGTGTGAAGAGGGCCTCTTGTGGCGAACGAGGGGACATTCAGCGTACCGTTCAGCCACAGGCAGGAAGAGGTGCTGGTGGCGTTGCAGCATTCCAGATGACACGGGGGTGGTGTGGAGTCCTTGCATATGGTTTTGTCAGAACAGTTGGAAATGCAACCTGCCGTCCACTGAAGCGAGGAGTCCACTGTCTCCTTTTTCAGCTGCAAACACGACAGTGAGTGAATAGAGCTGTGCAGGATACGTGAGGTCAAACGTCTAAATGTGAGGCCGAGATATTTAAATATTGCTCATAACCCGCCGGAGTTTGTGAATTCATCTGTGAAAGCACTGTGAAGTTTTCATCATACTAATATATCTTCATGTATATAGCATGTAAAGATAAACTGAGAAAGGCAGTTGAAAATGTTAAAATAATCCTAAAGTTTTAAAATACTTCAATTGGTATCACACACGCAAATTATTTTTCTTCAAATCAAAGTTCTCAATTGTGTTGATATAACTATAACCTTAGTTTAAATAAACTACATTAATCTGTGTGTTACTAATTAAATATTTATTGAAGTTGTTTTTTTTCAGTGTACGTTTTTGAACTTTTACTTTGTATTTGTGTCCATCAATAGCAAAACAACATTGTTTTACAACCTTAATGATACGACACAGGACAGTTTAAAGGTTGATAATCACGGACAAAGACGTATTCTTTGAAAATCAGAACTTGTAATGAACCTGGACCCGAGAGAATAAAACATTTTCTTGAATCTTATTGGTAGAAATGAAGTATTTAGGGTTCCTGGAGCTACATTATATCAACATTATGGATGTTGGTGACTTTTGAAGTACACTGTTCAATATCAGTTCTCACCTGACAGTGTGGCTGTGAGGACGAGCAGGTTTGGAGGGCTGCGGTTTTAAAACCTGTGTAGCAATTTGAGCCAGTACACATACCTCGATGACACTTGTTTCCCTGAAAAAAAGAGAACTACATTTACATTGTTTGACTTTAAAATACCAAATGACTGGAGGAAGAAGAAGACAAGTTAAGCTTTCTGCTCACACACACTGTACCCAGCACACACACACACATGCAGCCGTCAGTCCTTACATTGTTTACTGCAGTGGTGGTAGTAGTTGTACTGGATTTCATTGTTGTTGTGGTTCCAGTTGCTAAAACAATGTGAAGAAAAGAGTCAAACTATAAGAAATGAAATAAAGACTTAAAGTGCTGACTCACGAGATTTAATAAAATATAATAACTTATCACAGGAACACGATAAAGACAGAGGTAACAGTTCTGAGTCATGGAATAGGAGGAGTAAAGGTGTGAGGTCTGTTTACCTGTGGTCATGTTCATCATCATCATGGAAGCAAAACTGCTGTTGAGGCAGCCAGTAGAGTTGCAGCAGTTCTCAGTGCAGTTGATCTGGGAGGCGTTGACGCAGCTGTCAGCACACGAGGCACTGCAGCTGACGGTGTAGAACATGTTCATCTGCCTCATCAGCTGATACGATACAGAACGACACAAGTGGAGAGTATTTACTTTGCCTTCTCTTGTTTGTATGAATATCACTGACCATTATATTTACATGTAGAGCCTGACTTATGTTTGTTTTCTTCATTCAAGTCCAATATATTTGGTTGTATTCATCGCCAAGTGTTTTTTTTATACATATATCAATCAATATTTGGTATCGGGAATATTTTACTCCCTGTATTGATATTGGCATCAGCCCCTAAAATCATATTATTCAGGCTCTAACCTACACAGTTTAAGTGCAAATCATACAGAAAAGGATCATTAACCTTAACTTTGAGGAGTTACTTACAGACAAATCTACATCTTGTCAATGTTCAACTTCTTTGACACAACACTAATTACTAGTAAAACAACTGTATAATTTCCTGTATATGTACATATTACTAAATACCTAAGTTGAAATTAATTAATTGAATTATACTATCGTTTAAAACAATGCATTAAATCATTTCGTGAGGTTCTAAAGAGTCGTTTGTCTCCTTACCTGACAAAAGGAATCAGCAGGACATGATGTGGCATTCTGACTGCTGTACATACTGTAGCACTCCGAGTAGTTACAGCTGAATGAGGGACAGGACATCTGTGTTTGAGATAGAGGAGACATACATGATGAAGATGAGAGACAGAGAGGATGATGAAGATGAGAGACAGAGAGGATGATGAAGAAGAAGAGGTGACAACAGAAAAACACTTGTCTCTCAAGAGGTGGGCCTATCCTACTCACAGAGACAGTGGTTCCATTGGTACCAGTCATGCCACCTGTGGCAAAAAGATGGATGTCAAATGTATGGAAGAACAGAAAACAACCAATAATCTTCTTTTCTTTAAATGGGAAAAACTAAGACTGGAAATTGGATTGAAGCGTCTCAATATTTGATTAAAAAGCAAACACAATACCAGTGGAAGAAGAGGAGGGAATTAAACCGGTCCCACCTGAGGCCATCGTGGTGATGTTGGGTTGGGTCACGGCTGCTGAACCAACAGTAGAAAAAGAAAAGAATTAGAAGCGACAGATATTGAAGGTGGACGGGTTAGTAGCAGTGATCACTGTGACTCCGGAGGTGCTAGTGGTGATGGGATATCAGGTGGTGGTGGTGGATGCAATACCTCCAGATGTGTTAGATGTTGTGGAGGACTGAGTGCTGGTGATTGCAAAACTTCCAGAGGGGAGAGTGTTGGTGGTTGACTGGTTGTGGGTCATTGCCATGCCTCCAGATGTGGCAGAAGCTGTGGAGGACTGAGTGGTGTTGGATGCAATGCCTCCAGAGGCGGCTGTAGTAGTGAGAGTCTGGGTGGTGGTGTTAGATGCTGAGCCGCCAGAGGTGGTGTTGGTGGAGGATGAGTGGGTGGTGGAGTTAAGTCCGGTGCCCCCGGAGGTTGCCATGCCTCCAGATGTGGCAGAAGCTGTGGA